AAAAAAAAAAAAAAAAAAAAAAAAAAAAAAGCGCCTTTGTGTTAGCTGGCTGCTCTCCAACCAGTGGCTCCACCCTACTCCCTGACCACTGCCTTTAGGCATCCCCTCAATTGTGAGAGGTTGTCTCTACGCTTGCGGGGATCCACTGAATATCCTTAGGAAAAGTGGTAGGTACATATGGGAGCATTGTCCCGTTCGGAAGAGAAAAAGAAAAAAAAAAGAGAAAAAAAAAGAAAAAAAAGGGAAAAAAAAGAAAAAAAAAAGAGGAAAAAAGAGGAAAAAAAAAAGGAAAAACAGAAACAAGAAAAAACTTACTTTTATTTTTTTTGCAGACCACCACTTTTTTGTTGATAGATATGTGACCACATATTCCATTCATCAAGAAAGGACAGTGAGCAAGCCAAATGGGACGCTGGACCCGGTTTTCAGCAGATGAAGATCCCCACCAATAGATGGAGCATCCAAAACAGGGTTTGTTCTCTCCCCCCCCCCTAAAAAAAAAAGGGTTCACTTTAGGAGTGTGCTCATATCACTTCCTCAAGTGTTTCCCTGTTTAGAGATTTTTCCACAAAAAAAAAAAAAAGTGAGCAGCAGGCCATCCCAACTGCAGCCCTCAATCCAGGTATTTTCTCACCGCCACCTCAATAGAGAAGTTGCAGAGAGATGACGGGGAAACAAGAAAAGAGCAAGGACCCTCTTTTCCTGGATTTCCTCTTTGTGGCCGTTGATCATCACAATCTAGGGCCGGAAACGAAGAACCAGGGCATGTGGGAACACCACCATACCCAACTTTCTTTACAAAAAAAAACAAAAAAACTTCATCATTATATAACCTGGGAATTGGGCCCAGCATCCCTCGCATCATATGCCAAAGCGTTCAGGGAGGGTGAGCAGGTCACTCCGGCCAAGTTTATCCCGACTGCAGCTGACGACTGCAAAAAGAGCTTCGTACATGTTTTCAAAAAGGCTAATTCTTTTAAGCCCAACCAGTTAAATAACCTGTGGAATCTGGACAGGACGGCCTTTCAGGCCTTTTTTATTGTCATTATAGTATTACGAGGAACCCCGTAGCAGCCAATTCCGTGCTCAAGACTCCAACGAGGGAGGGAACATGCGCGAGCTGCACCCGCCAGCCGGTGAGCGATACCTGCTACACCAGCAGGTGGGCGATACTGGCCAGGGGTCAGCCCGCAGCATCAGGACCGCGCTTCTTCGATGGACCAGTCACTGCGCCTCCCCTCAGGTGGTGGGATGGACCAGTCACTGCGCCTCCCCTCAGGAGCTGCACCCCTCAGGACCGCGCTTCTTCGATGGACGAGCCCCGACCCCTATGATCATCAGCAGTCTCTCCTCAATGCCTCTCCGGGGGGACCAAGGGCCTATTTCTAGGTGGCGGGAGTCAAGCATGCCCAGGAGGGTACATGAAACCAATGGGGATTGACCCCCAGACCTCCTGAATCCCACTTGCGTGCCTTACCAACTGAGCTAGGCCGCTGGATCTCACCAACATACATGATAATCCCTATTGAGTTTTAGATTAAAATCGAATTAGAGCGGATACACACTGGTTGATATACGCTTTCGCACTAGGTCTAACTAGAAATTGCCTGACCCCTGGACGGTATCGTCCACCTGCTGGCCTTCACCGAAAAAAAAAAAAAAAAAAAAAAAAAAGGAGCCGCCCAGGTGCATACCCAAATTTGCCTGCCGGCTGCCGATGAGCATTAAAAAAAAAAAAAAAAAAAAAAAAAAAAAAAAAAAAAAAAA